TTTTATTTATCTTCCCCACTTCTCGCCTTTTCAACCACATAAAACCGGCCAAGGTAGTAATTATTACGCTTAAGGTTGAATTTCAATAATCTAGATTATTTATGGACAATGCTTTTGATTATAATAATATTAGTCGAATACTATGACGGTTATAGTAAATATTTAGATTTTAATTTTATCTCACTCATGGTAATTCACCACGAAAAATATCATTTAAACAATACTATCTTCAAAATTGCTTGGTTGATTATCTAATTTCATAATATATTTTATTTTGAATTTGATAATTGAACTATGTACTTATTTGTCGTAACACAAAGTTACTGAGGAGAAAATGTATTCAAGGATGAACATAATTTATAATTTATCGAATTCGCAAAAAAGAAACTATGAAAAGTAAATACAGATTACTTTCGTTTTTTTTAGAGGATTCAAGTCGTGTTGAAACGTGTATCAATTGCATTAACTTATTTTGTCAAAATCTTTGTAAAATATATCTCAATACATTGACTTTCGAAGTTATTAAGAATGTCCCATAGCAACTCCCAATATGAAAATGAATGCGTCCTGTAAAGCAAAAAATACTATTATTGAAAGTATATCGGCAAAATACTCTTTCTTTAACAGAGAAGTAACTCCATGAAATTATCCTTACTACAGGAAAAACAAAAATTCCATTGATAAAAATGAAAAACTGCTAACAATGAGTGTTAATGATTTCTGGATTTTTAAAAATTGTTTCTTTGATTTTATGGATGATGGAGGAAGGGATAGCGATCGTCGATGCAGGGTTTCGAAATGAGTCTTCGACTCTTTTTTTTTTTTAATATTTTATGTCGCCGGGTTCTCTTGAATGTGTTGCTTGAGAGTCGATTTAAATTTCCTTCTTTTTATTATTTTTTATTCAGAAGTTTTGGAAGAAGGTTGAACAGTTTACGTTTTTTTTTCAAGGAACAAACACAAGCACTACAGAAAAATCCTTAAGGCTCTCTCAGAGCGGTGCCTGTGCGGAAGTAGCGATTCACATTGGATTTGAATCGCTGGAGATTAAATCCATTTGAAAAAACGTTCTCAGGAGGTTTATTCCACATAAAAGCAGTTCTCCACATGAAAGAGTTCGTAAACAGTGAAGTTCGAAGTGTACTGAGTTGAACCTCAAAACGATGAGTAGCCACAGTCCGTTGCACGTGATGTTTGCGTCTCCAATCCGGCGGATGGCTGTTTTCTGGATGGCAGCAACTTCAGGGTATGTTTGGGGCAAAACTCCAAAGAAGAAAACGAATCTTTGGGTATCACTTTTCAAAAGAGCCTAATTTTGATATGCAAGTTTTCGACTGATCTTGTCGTTTTGTGAGTGATGAAACTGAATTTCTGGAAACTCAAGAACTTCCATATCAAACTGTGGTAGCTGAATCAGGATCTTATACTCAGTAATTCTAAGGTTTTAACAATAAAATGCAATTCAGGTAAATTCTATATTTCTCGAAAGCAGACAAATACAATGAAATACCACATCATCAATCCCCAAACTGAACTCTATTCCGAATAAGAAAAGAGTAGGAATGACATGTGTATATCGAAGATATAATATACTTACTTGCTCCGTTAGAAAACTTCTAGCTCTTTTTAATGTAATTTTCATTAATAAGTTTTGGGTTGTTTGTAGGCAATTGATGGTATTATTGAATGGTCCTCCCCACACAACAATACAATATCTAACTATAGACTATGCCAAGAAATTAAATAAAATTAATATATTTTTTTGAGAGAGTATAACCGTAAGGGTGTAGAATTTAAACATGAGAAGTCTCATTCTTTTTTTAACTTGGACAATCTATTCTTTCCTCCTCAGATGTTGGTCAATAACTACACCCAGATATTTTATGAACGTAGCTTTTTCAATTTTTGGGTAGTTGCATGTAATATTCTTAGTGCAGGTGGGCATGTGTATTCTGAGTTTGTTGATAGATGGTTGGTCATCAGAGTTTAATGAGAAGCACATAAATTTTGTCTTTTTTATATAAGGACTCAGTAGTTCATTGTTGAACCAGATTTTAAATTCCTATAGGTTTTCCTCAGCTCGATTGGAGATATTGTACCAACTGTCATCTCTGAATATTAGCGCTGTGTCATCAGCGTAACAAATGGCCGTTGAAGTTTTGTATTTGGGATATAGCGTTAATGTATACAATGGAACTTCTAAGAAAAGGTTTTAGGAATTCGAAAGCTCAAACCGGATTGTGAAAATGAAATGTCTACAACATACCAGGTGATAATTGTGATTTTGATTGTTTTGGAACTACCTCACAAATATTGTCCACTACAATAACTTTACACGAAAGTGATATAAAATTGAAAAATGAATATTCCCGTGCACTGATACGAGTACATTATTATCTTGAGAAAGTACACTGAATTGAGTTTGATGAAATGAAAGTTCTACATAAAGATGAGCTTCAAGGGGGTCACTAATATTATCTCAAGAACCTTCAAAGTTAGACTATTGCTTGAATCACAAAAAAGTTACGCATTTCAAGGATTAATCAAACGGTGTGATGAAATCGAAAATATCATAAAACGTTTTTAAAATAATTTAAAAAAATAAATAGAATGATAGTTTTGGTTTTCTAGCTTTAGGGTTTTTATTTTTTTAAATACGGAAAAATTCAAATTTCATATGTTCCATATACACTTTCATTTGGCTGCACAAAATTTTCGAAAGGTACGTTTATTTCAATAATGGACACCTTCAACTTTCTTTCATTTACGAAATTTATTTTTCTGCCAATGGGATAAAATACGAATCTGAGGTTGACATTCATGTTCTGAAAGTATATATATCTCAATATAAAGAGAACTGAAAAAAAAAATATGGATTGAATCAACACGCAGTCTAGAACTATATCCGAGATAATCATGAATCAAAGAATATACAGAACGCGTATCGAATTTGTAACAAAAACTCTTCGACATTGACCCAATGAAATGTAACAGAAAATTATGATGACACCTCGAAAGATGCATAATATGAAACTCTAACTATTTTGTGCATGGCTGTTGAGGAAGAACCATATTGAAAATGAAATTTGTTTCAAAATAATGTAGACAAATAAAAGTAGGTTCACCGATGAATGTATATGTTGACGATATTATTTATTCTCCCCATCACTGAAATTTTTTTCTCTTTGCAAAATTTTGCTTTGCCATTCAATTTTTTTTGTTAGTTTTGAGATTAGTTTACAGTCGTTTAATTATTATTTAGTCTGTTCTCCACGCAAACGAAGTAGCTGGTATTATATTTGACAAACATCTTACATTTTTCAAGACAAAATAAAAGAAATTAGGATGGCAGTGCAATTTACAATGTTTGATTCATTTATTCAGGAGTTGTTATTCATATTTCTCTAGTCGTATTAATTCATAAGCTACCTCATAAATTTTAAAAAAGATAACACATTAATCACATATTTTTACTATAAAAACGGTGGTAATTCCTTATTCCCAACAATAAATGCACCGTGATAATGTTGCTCAAAATAGTTGTTATCATTACTTACAGTATTACTTTACAAGTGAAATGTGAAGGAGGTAAAGTAATTCAATTGAATTAAACTTGATAATTTTCAGAAAATAAGTTTTTCATTCAATAATATATTCATCATAACGAAATCACAAATACTCGTTCATAGCATTAGATCTATGTCAACCAATATACAGCTTCAAGTCACATTTTGTTAAATTCTTGAAAATATGTTTCTGGAAATGAACATGACTGGACCATAAATACACATTTTATGCAGATTGACATACATCATCAGCGACATACATGTATTGAATTAATATTTTATTTCAACTGAATTTCATCATGATAACCGTTATAAGTCTCCTATCATCGAATAAAACTAATAAATTATAATTCTATTGAATAACAGCACCTACTTTGGAATCACAATAGAAAAATAGGTTCATTACAATCGGATATCTAGTAGTGAGGATGATACTGTTCCATGAGAGTGAAATTCAACTCCTTTCATTGATTATATTCTGTACTAATCCTGTGAATAATATCTAATTCGATTTCATACGAATATTTGGAGTAAAAACTGAATACAGAAAATTGGTATTTCGTATAATTTAGCGTTCATATAAAAGTATTTGTCTCGAAAGTATTTTTTTCGTGTAATTCAATGATTATATGAAAATAGCTGTTTCGAGAGGGCTTTTTATTCCAATTTGTTTCTGAAAGTTACTTCTTTGCATGATCTACACATCTTTGTATAGAGTTAATTTTTAAAATTGATTGCTTTCTTTGGAAGATTCCGAAGGATAGCATTTCGCCAAACACTTTTCATTTGAAAAAAAAGGAAGATTTTTTTGAAAATTGAAGGTTGCCTTACTAATTTCTCTTTTGGAAGACACCATCTACAGAAACATAAAAAAAATATATTTTATTCATAAGTGTGCTCTTCTTCGAAAACTGACAAAACAGGTTCAGGTCCTGAGTCCTAACTAACTAGGCCATTCGGACATGGGCGCCCAAAAAACCATCTTTCGCTGCAAAGTATCTGAAACAGTCATTAGAAACAAGTGTAATTGTATCCAGCCTGGCTACCCTCCAGTAACTACGTTAAAATAACTGACGCTAGAGGTTTGAAAGCAACATCAGAAGGAAAGGAAAAAACTGTTCCAAGAATTGCTTTAAACGTCAAAGTGTATCAATGTCAAAAGCAATTTTTTTTGAATCTCCAAAAGTGCCCATGATGTTGAATTCGAAATGTCTGTTTAGGTGTAGAAATCAGTCAATACTTTTACGCTCAGTCAATAATTTTAAAAACTGATTCACAACATTTTTAGTGGTTACCTCAATTTGGAACACTTCTGATTCTGATGTACCTACTTCTAATGCGCCACTGAATTGGGGATACTTTGTATGAATTTTCCATTCACTTTGATATCAAATATCATCCTTTACTGAATACAATATAATCATATTTTTTCAGGTTTTATGTTCCGATAACAAAGACAAGTTAGTCTGGTATCCAACGTCATCTCCTGCACTCAAAAATGAACTGCAAATGGCATTAGTGAATCCTGTGGTAGGAGGAAGAAATACAGCAAACGACCAACTCTACATCGGTAAAGTTGTGGATACTACCGGAAGAACTCTACATTTTGGAAGCATTTGTAGTAGTTTATTGCAACTCCATTACAATTACAATAATATAAATAAGATTTCAAGTTATTACGAAATACTCACATTGATTGATAAGTGCAATAAGTAAGTGTCATCAAAAAATATAGGTATAATTTATATTTCACAATAAAGCGATAATATAATGTTCAACTTAGATCAAGTATGAAAGGTTTGAAATTTGAGTTACAAGATATAAGTTTGAGCAATAGAAATTTCGAAGAAATATATTTGTTGGTGAAACTAAAATGAAAAACTAATTTCAATAGACAATATACATTTATTAAAAAAACACCTGATTGAATTTATTTCGCACAAACTGATATTTATATGATAAATTAACTTTTGTTGAAACTTTCCTAGCTCTTGACTTCAGCGCTATATTTTGGTTTTCATAAAAGAGTGGAGTGTTTATTATTTGTATATTTGTATATTTTTAATCACTCTAGAGCAATTATATTTGCTTTTAGGAACATTTTGAAAACATTACCTCCTCTATTGAATAACAGCACCTACTTTGGAATCACAATAGAAAAATAGGTTCATCATTGAAATCATCACACCATATTGAAGCTTTAAACAATAATACAAATTTCATAAAATTGAAAATTATTTTCAGTGTATGATTTATTTTTACTAGAATTGATTCTCTATTCTGAGAAAAAATATTTCATCGTCTTTATTACATTATCTTTTTAAGCTTTGCTGAAATCTTGAAAAAAGATCAACATTATTTTACGGTGAATTCAATTATGATATATGTGAATTCTTTTGATTATGAACTACTGAATGTTGATATTAAACAGTTTTTTCAATATCGTACAGTCCGTTACAAATTCAAAATCTAAATGAGTAGAAAGCTTTCAATTTTGATGATTTCATTTTCATATTCAGAGTTTGAACATAAGATAAACTTTATGTCACCGTCATAACTGAGATATATTTGACATTTTATCTGGAATCATATCGGTTCAATGACACATTGGATTGGACAAATTGTTGTTCGATTATCAAGTACCATATTGAATTTTCTTGATGAATGACTAACCAAAACTCACGATAATTTGGATAATAGAAAACTCTCTCGAAACAGTCTATAACATTTCAAAATTCTGAAGGGGATATTTACAACATTACAACAATTAAAGAAATGTTCGGTACATTCGATCACATCCTGCCAGTTCGAATTTTGTTCCCTTCAATCATATTCTCAGATGGCACTAAAATTCATAATATTTCATTTCCAGAATACTTTTGGAGACCTTGGACTCCTGGTTCTCCGCCTGTAGACGCTATAACCGGTAGAGATTACAGAGGCATTTCTTACATAGTTGAAGCCTATGCTCCCAATTTTGGTATTTTTATCGGTCAGGCATTTGTTCATCAGCATGAAGTCAATGTTTCAGCCTTCCATGTAAATGCTTCACTGATATCACAGAAGAGTCATGCTTTGAAGGTATCACATGTTGGTTTATATATTTTCTTGACAATTCAAGAAATGAAAAATTTCGACAATTTATATAAAGTACGAACACTCTTTTACACTTTTGATTCTATAAAATATTTTGCAAAAAAGAGGTTGAATTATCTCCGAAGGATAAATCAAAAACGTATATTTTTGGAAAAGATTAATTTTTGGAAAAGAAAGTTTTTGGCCTTCTACTTCACCTTGATATAAAAAATACGGGAATCTTCTAAAGAAAGAAAGGAAGTAATCAATTTCAAAAATTGACTCTATACATGTATATATCATGCAAAGAAGTAACTTTCAGGCACAAACTGGAAGAAAAAGCCATCCCGAAACAGCTATTTTCAATTTAAACAAGTTTCCTATGGCTGGGATTTAATCAAATGAGCGAATGAAAGTTTTTACATGACAAAATGTCGTAGTTATGAACGAATAGAGTGTTTTTTCTTATAGTCATATCCGTATTGGCTACTGAAGAGCTGATAAGTTAAGTGTCTTACGACAGACAATCGGATATCTAGTAGTGAGGATGATACTGTTCCATGAGAGTGAAATTCAACTCCTTTCATTGATTATATTCTGTACTAATCCTGTGAATAATATCTAATTCGATTTCATACGAATATTTGGAGTAAAAACTGAATACAGAAAATTGGTATTTCGTATAATTTAGCGTTCATATAAAAGTATTTGTCTCGAAAGTATTTTTTTCGTGTAATTCAATGATTATATGAAAATAGCTGTTTCGAGAGGGCTTTTTATTCCAATTTGTTTCTGAAAGTTACTTCTTTGCATGATCTACACATCTTTGTATAGAGTTAATTTTTAAAATTGATTGCTTTCTTTGGAAGATTCCGAAGGATAGCATTTCGCCAAACACTTTTCATTTGAAAAAAAAGGAAGATTTTTTTGAAAATTGAAGGTTGCCTTACTAATTTCTCTTTTGGAAGACACCATCTACAGAAACATAAAAAAAATATATTTTATTCATAAGTGTGCTCTTCTTCGAAAACTGACAAAACAGGTTCAGGTCCTGAGTCCTAACTAACNGCCAAAAACTTTCTTTCCCAAAAAATTAATCACTCCTAAAAATATAACCCCTCCAATTCAAAAAAGAATTATTTTCTGAAAAGTCTACCACTTGAAAAACCTAAGTATGAAATGTTAAATGTTTTCCATTATCGAATTTTTAGGTGAAATTTATGAGTACAAGTTCAGCTTCGTTCATTTTGCAGATAGTGAAAGTTAAGCACTCAAAGAAAAACATGAATTGCATTATTTTTGTACATCTCGGTTCATTTCTCTAGCTTGCAAAAAACCAAAATTATTGCCAACAGTATAGATGAACCAATAAATCTGACCAAGTTTCAGATGCGAATTTGAGTAATATAATATAATCGAAAACAACAGATTACGGAAAACAACTGAATAGAAAATTAAAAAAATCTCCCAAATTGGATCAAAGGTACCAAAAACGGACAGTTGCAAATCGTAAGGAAAATACATTTTATTCGATTTGAATGAAAATAGGTATTTGAGAATAGAACTGAAGAAACACCTTTCCTCCTGTGAATTTTTCAAAATGTTTTAAAGAATCCTTTTTAAAAACTTTCAAAAATAATGTCAAACTCAACAAGTAGATCAACATCAATTAGAAAGTTGTGCTGGACACATTGAATTTATTTTCAATTAAGTACCGAAATGTGTGTGAAATGTATAATATTTGACAAACTTTCATCAATGGAGAATTTATGAGTATACATTTTCAAACTGTACCTATCCGAAAAGAAAAGTGTATGTCTGAGAATGAAATAAAGCAGAAATCAAAAACAATTCATGTATTCTCAAAGCAATAACAGACAACATTGGGTTTACGGTCTAATAAATTCAGTACAACGAGTTGTATATACTTGTGCCATATGTTACGTCAAAATCAATTGTAGAATTTGAGTTGTCTGATAATTATTCGGAGTTAACATTACATGCTTATGATACCACTTTCACATAGCTGCACTTAATTGCGTGTATGCAAAGTACTCAAACTGTACATTTTGACGTATGCACGTTCACTTTTCCAGTAAGAGTATTTGAATGGTAACGTCGTAAGTAATTACTTTGTGGGTATTAGAGCTGGATTGGATGAGAATCTTTTATTTCCTTCCTCTTCGAGAAGAATTCAGTATTTCGAGAACCATTAACATTGTATAGTTAATAAAACAGTTAAATTATTTCCTTATAAAAAATATGATATTGAAAAGGAAGAAATAGGAAGAAAAAATATCGAAATGTAAATGAAATGAAATTTCATTTACAAGAAAAATTTTTAATCTCTAGGTAGACCTCCGACGGTTTCGATAAAATTATTATTAGGTTTCAACTCCCCTTTCGAATACAATTATTATAAATGAATAAAATGCATTCAATTCATGCAACCACAGATCAATAATATTTCATTTCTCTAAGCTCATGTCAAATGTCACCAAATATGTCATAAAAACAGAAGGAACACAAAGCATGATACAAAACGAAGAGTAGGACTAACCCAATTTTCGAATGGGCCTAGTTACTACATTGCAATTTGGGTTAATTTGTTTACCTATCAAACCCTATCGGATTTGTTCTTCATTAGGAAATATGTGAAAATTGCCAATTTGTAATAGCCATACCAAATCAGTGTGGAATTTTATGTAAAATTACGAATGTACTGCAAGTGGAGGCCCTGAACGCAGGCAAATCATCGATTTGGGCAACACCACCTTGTCTTCAACCCCACCAAATGGATCGCTTGTGAGGGGACCTTCTTTCTGTTCTAGGAACCAAACGTTTATTCTGGTTCTAACATCCGAAATTGTTTGGAAACTGCCACTGTGCCACCTATCGTATATATGAAGAGATGAAGACGGGAAAATACTGTTGATCATGTCTATTTTTTTATGTAGCGTGTTCTTGTAGTCAGTTCAAATGTTATCTAACCTCAATTATCAATTATTCAAATCAAATGAATTAAAAACATCCTAAAAAATAGCCCAAACAAATTTCCACATGAACGCTCATGAGCAACGGGAACAGAGTTCCCAACAGTTCAGCCTCGAGAGCAAGAACGATTCGGGACGGTTCAAGACAGTTTAGGATCATTTCGCAGTCAAAACCAGAACAGAGAATTAATCAATCCGAACTTATCCTCAATAAACTGCGCATGATCCTGACGTCCTAGAACCTGAATTTCGTAGAACCAGAACAAACATCAAGTGTAGAGTCAATGTTAATATATCAGTCTTAGTCTTAGTCCTGTTGCCCCACGTCCGGCATCGAAGGGGGAGTTGAGATTTCCCCCAGATGTTGAATGGCCATCCCTGTTCATATATTAATATTATTGATACTAATATCAATAACAATATTATAATTTCATGACTAAATAAGGTTCAGAATATACATAGGATATTATTCTATTGTAAGTTTCACTATCAAATCAGTTGTGAGTTTCCTTCCTTTTTTAAATCAATTGACACTAGAAACAGAAAAATTATCAGTTTAGATGATTCAGTAATGAAGATGAAATCAAAACTATTTTGAATATGAGTACGTGTGGGGAAATTATCAATGGAAGATGATATCAACAGACTACGAAAAACGAAATGCAAAATTAATGGCATATAAACAATAATCAGAAAAGCAAAGAGTAAGTAATATACATCTCTCCTGGCTACCTAACTACATCGAAGGTTTTGGTAAAGGCCTCCTGGAAAACAACTACTTATCAGAATAGTGTGAAACCTTCGTCTAAGGGAAAGATTGTTAACCAGTAACAGCATCTCGTGAACAAAGC